CAAGCCCTTGCAGCATGCATAGCATACTTTAGCAACCCTATGTTCTGTCTTTTAGAAGGCGGATGCCAGCAGAGGATGGAAAGTAAAGATCTGTTACTACTACTATTACCCTATACAATACCACAATGGAGCTAAGGAGGTGCAGAGTATACTGTAGTATCTATGCCTTCATCATCTGTCACAGATCAGGAAGTAATTAGCAACACACCATGGTACCAGGAAGGACATCATTCATTACAGCTCGGCCAAATCCTAAATTAACCAACCAGCGTATCTGGAGAAAAACACTAGTATTTTAAATATATTTATTTATGCATAATTTTGGTGATTATTAGAAGATTGGTTTAAAATAATTAGGATTTTTTAAAAAAAACAACTGCTGCTGCATTTATGTTATTGGTTATATTGTTTAACTGTTTTATCGTTAGTATTTTAATTTCTGCTGACTGAATCTAACACTTTAGATTCAGCTACGAGACAAGATTAAAAGCAGCAGCGGAACCAACAGTTCCTGCAGCCGCTCATCACAGGGCACATGGTCCACTGTACATGGTTTTCTACGGAGCATAAGCAACGCCAAGGATGCGTATGTTAACAGAGTAGGTTGAGCAACGTGCATAGGCAATTTATGGGAAGGCGTGTATAAACACTCACCATATCAAGAGATGGAGAATGAAGATTTAGAATCGCTAGACAAGCTGAAGTGGCTAAGCCAAGAGAAGGAAGGAAGAGATAGAAAGCAAATTAATCAACACACACAAATTTGGGAAGTCAGTAATTAGTGGGGGAGCCAGCTGGAGATGAATAATTGCTCAGAGAACAAAGGGAAAGGGAAAGGGGAAAGAATAGAAAAAAGAATCATAGGAAATGTCAGAAAGCTACAATTATACAACACACTAATCCATAACCCAGAGTTAACTAATCACAGCAGATGAGCTAAACCGATAGACGGAAACCACATTACAGTTTATCATGATGGTCTGATTCTATTTGGTTAGAAAGGAAGCAGAAAACTACAACTATTCTGAAATGGCACAACTATGTCATGAGAATGGGCCCTAATATAGAAGCTACATGTATTTAAATGAAGAAGTTTCCCAATCTTTCTATTTCTACTCAAAAACAAACTCCAAAAATTTACGAGTCCATAAATCAGCATACCTGCTTTTTCTAATATAATATATTTATGGTCTTGACTACCTCTATAATTACGGTGATTAAACAATAAGGAATGGTTTATTTGAACTGAGGAGTTAGTAAACATCTTAGTAACTTTAGTTAAATGCACTGCACTGGGCTTTAAAGTTAGTCTTCCCTCTACAGAAAAACAAAACAGACTAGATCCCCTACTGATTAAAAAAATACAACCTTAGTAAGGGCTATATAGACTTCACAGGTCTGCTATTTCAACTGAGCTTTGGGAATTATTTGAACATATGAAAAGTCATCCTTTCAGTTCAGAACTAAAATGATGAAACTAAATGACTTTGATAGCTTTTTTTTTTTTTTACACAAAGCAGTTTGTGAATTCAATGGATTAAACATTTGGGAAACTGAAGCATGATCATGTTTCTTGCTACCAGTCCCTCCAAGCATTATATAAGAGAAATGCAGAAAACTGGTATATTTGTATACATCTGATTGCAAATGTAACATCTGCATATGGAATCCAGGTTGGAGTTATCATGATGAAATGGATATTAATTTGAATCTTCTGTTTGCTTCATTAATGTCCTTCTCTGTCCTGGTCCCTGCCCTATGGAATACTCTCCCCCCAGAGGTGAGGCAGGCCCCTACTCTCTTGACCTTCCGGAAAGCAGTCAAGACCTGGCTCTGCCAACTGGCATGGGGTGAAAAAAAGGGGAAATCAACCCTAGGGTGGCTAGCACCTTGAAGATGCTCCTGTATGTTAACATCTTTTCTAGCAGCAGCACCTTGCAAGATCGTATTATGTATGTATGTACTTGGTTTTTATTGTATTTATACTATTTTTATCACATTTTAATTAATATTTATTTGTTGTTTTTATTGTAAACGACCCAGCCACTTCCTTGTGAGATGTGCAGTGTCCAAATTTGAAAAATAAATAAATAAATAAATAAATTAATTAATTAATTAAAAAAAACACCTTGGATTTTGTTTCGCATCTGCTGCAATATTTTTCACTTCCCCAAACTGTGGCTTTCAAAATAGGTTTGACTTGACAAAGTGCTGCATGATTTATTAAAGATCACTTTGAAACTAAATTGAAATATTCTCGTCCTCACCCTGAAGTGGATATTAAAGGCATATATCAGTTCTTAACCTGTCAACACTGATTGGCTATTATTTCTATGGAGGCATTATCTCAGTTCCAGTTTGCTCCAAAGCTACTCAAATTACAATTTTAAAAGCACGTTAAGGGGAAAGCAATTTTTTATACTCATCATGAAGGTAATTGAATAAAGCATTAAGGCGCTCAGCCATTTTTCTACTCAAGTAATTGTTATGATCTTAAATCAAAAGCTGAATAGGGATATGCATTGTTTATCGAGCTGAATTCTTGGAGACAGGATACAATCCTGGGCTATTAGCTCAAGAGAACATTTCAGAGTACTTTTTCACATATGGGCCACTTCTTGATGGCTTTTCATTTCTCAGTCACATTATTATTTTTGTATCAATTCAAATAACAATTGAAGGATGAGAAAAATCTTAAAACCCAGTGCTATCAGTACCACTTTCTACTAGCAACTGAAAGACCTTATTAAGCTTGTGCCCATTCATAGGACAATAATATCCTATGAGCAAGAACTTTCTGTGTGCTTTTTTACTGAAGTTGGCATGTGTTTGAATCACAAGAATCGCCCTAAAAGCTCTCACATTCTGGCCTTCAGTAAGTGGCAGTTTTTAGGAAAATGGCAAAAAACACATCTCCTCTGTCAAACTTTAAATTGTTATCTGACTTTAATTGCAATTGCTTTTATGATCATTCATTCATTCATTCATTCATTCATTTTCATTTTAATTCTAAGCTGTGTTGCGTGTTTCTGCAAGCAGAAAGGCCAGCTACACACCCTGTTTTTATTTATTTACTTTTTTAATAGAACTTATATGGCCATCTCACACAGTGATCTAAAGGGCTCCCAGCAACCAATAAAAACAATATAAAAACAGATCATACCCTTCCCATCAGGTGCCAGACCAATCACTATTAGCCTCCTGACTCAACCCCCATCCTAGCCCAATGCTTGGGAGAAGAGCCAGGTCTTCACCACCTCCTGGGAGGCTAAAAGAGTAGTGCCCCCTCCCCCCACCCCCGAATTTCAGGTGGGAAACTATTCCAAAGGGCTGGGTTGGCTACAGAGAAGGCACCCTTCTGAGGTCCCACCAGATTACAATGTTTGAGGGAAGAGATCTGGAGTGTGCCCTATCTGACCTAGTGGAATAGGCAGATATCCTTGGGGAGAGGTGGTCCCACAAATAACCTAGCCCTGTGACATGTAAGGTTTCATAGGTGATAACAAGCACCTTGAATTGCACCCGGAAAACAAATGGGAGCCAGTGTAGCTCACGGAACCCGCAGTGTGACATGGGCAAACTGTGAAGCACTCAGAACTGTGCGCACCACTGCATTCTGGAAGTGCAGCTTCCATATGGTCTTCAAGGGCAGCGCCATGTAAAGCATATTGCAGTAATCCAATCTGGAGGTGACTAAGGCATGAGTGACTGTTAGCAAAGTCTCCCAGAAAAGGGTGCCATTGACATGCAAGGTGAATATGTGCAAAGGCTCCCCTGACCACGGCTACCACCTGCTCTTCCAACAGGAGCCACAAATCCAGGAAGATCCCCAAAAGGCACACCAATTCTGTCCAGAGAAGTGCTCCCCATCCAGAGTCAAAGGTATCCTCTCTCCTGACCCCAGGGGACCAAAAGCCCACAACCACTCCATCTTGCGAGGGTTGAGTTGCACCTGATTTCTCCCCACGCAGGCCCTTACATCCTCCAGGCACTGAGCCAGCACCTGAGTAACATCACCTGTCTGGCATGGGGTAGAGATGTATAATTGGGTATCATCAGTGTACCAGTGATACTGAATCCCATACTGCTGAATAACCTCATTCAGCAACTTTATAGAGATATTAAAAAGGAAAGGTGAAAGACCCAAGTCCTGAGGCATCCCACATAACAGGGGCCTAGAGCTAGACCTCTCCCCTCCTACCAACACTGACTGCTACCAGCCACAGAGGAAGGAGAAGAATCACTGTAAAACAGTGCCCCCCACTCCCAAACCCTGGAGCCGGCACAGTAGGGTACCATCGTCAATGGTATCAAGAGCTGCTGAAAGATCCAGAAGGACCAGGATGGATATACCATCCCCATCCTGAGCCCTACAGAGGTCATCCACAAGTGCAAGCAATGTTGTCTCAGTACTACAGCAAGCCTGAATTCTGACTGAAAAGATAACTCTAGATAATAAGCTTCATCCATGGCCCTGCGTCGCTAGGAGCCCACCGCCCTCTTGACAACCTTCCTGAAAAAGGTTGGATGGAAGTTATCTAAAACCATAAGGTCCAAGGATAAACTTTTAAGAAGGGAGCGAACCACCACTTTTTATTTCTAAATGAGTAAAGTGTTAACCAGGGCTAAGGAGAGCTTGCTAAAAAAAAGAGTCCTTTTAATAGCTTCTCCACTGGAAATATAGTAAAATTAGTTGATCATAACACACACACACACACACACACATCTATCGATTGATTGATTGATCGATGTCTAAAGGGAGATACATACCAACACCATAGGGCTACTGCAGGGAAGGGTAAAAAAAGTAAAGATGTAATCAAAGGCCTGCCCTTTTTGACTTATGTCATGATGCATGCTAACAAGGGGTGGGGTTTAAATTGCATGGCTGTGCCCACCATCTTGACTTTTTTTACCCCCAATGTTAGAGAGAGAGAGAGACTCATTTTACCCACATGCCCCCTGGCCCCCCCCCCCCCATGTGTGAGAGAGAGACTTACTCAACTAGCAGTCAACATTGTGGAAAGCTCCATGGTCATGTTTGCTCCATGTCATTAGTCGTAGCCCAAAGGTTCATCCTCACACCCTGCTAATCAATATACAAAGTTCTATTTTATTTTATATGCTTTCTACTTCCCCAGTCATAAGCCTTTGAACAGTTTACATATATGTAATACAACCCAGTAACAACAACATAATACATGCCAGTGGCATTCCCCAATGTAAGATCCAAAAGCCTGGTGAAAGAGGATTGTTTTCACCTCCCTCCTAAATGTTAACAAGGAGACAGCCATCTTTACATTGGAGGATAAGGGATTCTCTGGAGGCAGCCCCAGAGAAGTCAAGATTCCTTCTTCCCACCTGCTGAGCTTCAGAGGGGTTGGGGAAACACAGCCTGCCTTCAAAACTCAGTTCCATAGATGGACAATTCTACCTGGATAGGAAGTCTTGAAGGTAACCCGGTCCCAAACCACAAATAATAAATAAGCACCTTGAATTGTATCAGAAACACATGGATAACCACTGCAAAGACTATAGAAATGCTGTTGAGTTTCCCCTGCCAGGACATGGGCTGCATTCTGTACCAATGAAGGTTTCTGAATAGTCTTTAAAGGCAGATCCAAGCAAATTATATTGCAGTAGTCCAGCCATTTGGTAGATGTCCTCACATCTGTTCTGTCTCATTCTCAGCCTACTATGGAGGGAGCAAACATCTGAATTTAGAAGTAGTTCTCTCTCTTCTCCTGCACAAATCTTGCTATACAAATAATCTGCCATGTCTCCATCCATAACAATGCTTGTGATGCCACAGGTCTATTGGCCACCTGAGGCTGCCACTGATATGCCCCTCCCTTCTGGTATCTGGGCCCTGTTTTCCAGAGCCATCCTACTAGGAACAGTGGGGGAATCTGGTTCTTTCTAATCAGGATCTCCTTCTGTGCCAAAGAACTGTCTCTTCTCACTCTTCCTGACACCTGGCAGCAGATTTTCTGGTTGCCAAGGCTTGGAGGAATGGCAAGAAAAGTAGGAAAGGGAGAAGAGCAGGAGAAGGGAAGTGGCTTTCTCTGATCTCATGAAGTAATCTGCAGGATCCGAAAAATGACAGCAAAAGAACTCACAAACACACAGTTGCACAATTGCCAGAGAATGGGGTATACCAGAGACCCAGCATGGAGAGATGGCCATAAGCATCTCACCCTCCTGCTTCATCCTGTGCATCCTCTGTCAGCCAAGTTGTATATTTGTGTGTGTGCGTGTGTGTGTGTGTGTGTGTTTAAGGGAACATCAATCTTTTGGAAGACTGGTATCCTGCATCCCAAAATCAAAAATAAACAGCTGATAAGTTAGCAGATGCACATGAGAAGCACAGGATGAAACAAGAGGTGAGATGTGTTCTGACTGGTGAGAGGTAGGTGATATCAAAGAACTGGCAGGTAAAGATCAACCCTCTTCCCCACTTCTCCCCAAGTGGGCTCACCAGCCCTGTAACACATATTTCAACCTGCTGCTTTACAAAGAGAACTGACCAGCTCCTGTGCCTCCCTCCCCCCTTTCTCTTGCCACTGGGAAGAGCAGGGGAGGGCTAGCTCTCTATACCATCTGAGGTCTCCATGCCATTTGAGAAGAGGAGGATAAAGAACTGCTTCTGCATCTTCCATTAGGCTTGCCAGCAGGTTGAGATATGTGTTACAAGGCTGGTTTAAGGGAATTAGATTAGCTAATGCTGCAGCTCCTGATCTCAGCCGGGCGGACATTATTGGGCAGCTCCTCCACAGGGGTCAAGCACTGCCTCTGCTCCGTAGGAGATGGGTGCTGCCCAGAGCCTGATTTGCTAGGGAGCAGGGAGGGTGGCCTGCCCGTCGTCTGCCTTACCAGGCAGGCCACCCTCCCTGCTCCCTAGCAAATCAGGCTCTGATCCGAAAGCGCTCTCCCTGATAAAGGAGCGCATGATCCGAGGGGGAATACAGGTCTACCCAGATTAAAAGGGGAGCGTCTCAGCATCTGTCAGAATTTGCCACCTTCCCTTCTGGAGAGGGGCTGATGGTTGTCTTTCTTACTGGCAGGGGGTATCAGGGGACTCCACTGATCCCTTCCTTAAATCAACCGGGCAATGAGAGCAGCGCCCAGCAAGCCAGCCCAAAGAACCCCCCCACCGCCCACTCAGAAGGAAGAA